AGCAGAGGAAATCCTTACCTACCTTGTACCCAAAGTGACTTTTGTTTGGCTGCATAGAGCATACCTGGAAGTTATTAGATCTAACCTCTGAGCTACACAGCTTAGTTTGTGTCTGGCAATGGCCAAACCAAAATGAGTCAAAGGAAAATGCAATACTTAAAGAAGCCTTTATAAGAAACAGTTCTGGAATAACATCATCACTACAAGATGAACTTCACTATTCCTTACACCTTTTTATTCAGAATAACAACAAATATTGCCATCATTCTTAGCTGTCTCACAAGCTACAGAATTCAGTGGCAACAGGTTCATGCTGTGTTTTTATTTTAAGTGTGTTTGATGTGCTGTGCTTGACTTTTAAAGAAGATGAGGCAGCATGGAACCATTACACTGATAAAGACCCATTTCAACTCCACCACCCTAAGGAAACATCCTTTGAGTGTTTCAGCCTCCCAGAGGTCCAAAAGAATAACTAGGTGCCTATGAAAGACACATACAGCAGGTGCAGAGAAACAATAATAATGGGAAAATTCTGGTTGATACTGAATTTGACAGCTATTAAGTCAACACACCTATTTTTGTGATCATCCTCCAGGGTTGTGTTTGCAGGTTTTGTTCCCCCCCCCCCAAAAAAATATTGACACTTTTCTTCTCCTCCTTTTTTAAAACTACCTTTTGCCCTTCTATATTTACAACGCTCTTCAAGAAATCAAAATTATATTTTCCTTTCTTGATAGTCTTTAAACTACTTTCTCAACTGTCAAACGATGAATTGGGCAAGTGGCACAGTTTTATCCCCACTGCCTATATTCTTGAAATAAATGCAGGGGGTTGTTTTTCCCACCACAACTACAATTTTCTTGTACATATTCACACACGCATCATTTAATAAAGGCAGCTGGCACTGAGGAACACTGCCAAATACAGAGAGACTTCTAGTTGTCCCCAGAGCAGGTATAATACCTTGTTTGTACCATAGCAGTTCACAGAGGGGACAGCTGACACTGAGGTGCCATTGTGCAAGCTGCTGTACAGACAGACAGAGGTCCTGTCTCTGTTACAAAAGCTAAGGCTCCCATTCTAACCCTAGAGGTACTGACCTTAGTCTGTGGCTCATTCCCACATAAAAACCTTTCATTTGGACACAGCAAGGTTTTCAGTGAGGTTTAGCGGCTCTGCATGGGAAATTTATCAACTTCTGTTTTTGTAGTACATAAATGTCATGGTGCTGCTTCCAAAAAAGAGGCAATGACATCTAACACATGCAGGTCAAACAGCTACTGCACAATGCCAATGGTTCGAGATGCTTAAAATAGGAGTTAGATGAGTCAATAACTGACATTTTGAAAAATTAAGGAGAATAAAAGAAAACCTTCAATTCACATATTTGAATGTTTACAAGCCATGGCACAAAACAATCCTGAAAACAAAGGACTGGGGCTCATCCACCCTTCTGTCTTTCTTCAGGAAATGCATCAAAGAGCACTCTCCTGTTGATGAGGATCTCAGTCTTACACCTGGGTCCTTCAGCTCCAGCACCTGACATGCCTTCTGTCAGGCTAAGGACTCATTCTGTGCTAGATGAAAACGTGAACAAACTTCCCCATGAATTTGACTTTACATACATGTCCGGTAAGGAAAGATGAGTTTGTGTAAAATAAACAGATGGCATTTAAGGAAAACTGAGTGCAAAGCTTATACCTTTGAGGGAGTTTCAATATGAAAGACACTAGCAGATATAAGAAAAAACTTGAGAGAAAATCTGTCTCACCACACTGCTGCTTGTCAACTGAGTAATGGTAACTAGCTGCAGCTGGAATTGACCACGTCCTAAAGGGTCTCATGACCCTTAAAGTCTAAAGCCCTGAAATGCAACAAACAATAAAAAAGCCCGACCCTGTTAAAGTGCAGTTCCTCTTTGCTTTGCTTACAGAAGAGAAAGTAAGCTGTTATCATACAATCAAAAGTAATGACATTAAGAATCATCTGTGAGCTTACAAAGGAGAAGGAAGCTCACTTCTAAGACAAAATATAACTCTCACCACAGGCTTCACCTAAAGGCTGCATTATCCTAAAAACCTGTAACACCAACAGTATGGTTTGGTGCAGTGGAGGGAGATAATACAAAGATACAACTGACCACAGGCAACCCCTTGTTTCCAGCTTGAATCAAGAATGCACACAATCTGGAGGGCATAATCTCCAATCTCCCTCTAGGAGGGAAAGAGGGAAGGAGTTTACCTCCAGGGGGGTGGTTTCCTCAGCAGAGGCAAATGCTACCAGTGCTGCCACATATAAGGCTGTTTGTGATACAGGCTCATTCAGTAGCGGCTGACCACTCCAGGGAATCTTTGCAACTAAGTAGAGACCCTTCCAGGAGGCCTGGAAAGAGACTTTGCTGAAATTGGTCTCACACAAAATTGGTCTCTCTCACAAACCCAGAAAGGGATGATGAGCTCACCAATGATTACTGATACCTCTGCTATGGGGAACTGATTTCCATTTCTTCAGATTTCAGATTCTCCCTGCCACAGCTGCTACAGACATGGGCAACCTGCAGCACAGAGCTCTCTGTTGGCTCTTCTCCACCTCCCCTACTTGGCTTTAGCAAAAACGTCTTACTGAATCTCCCCAGCGTTACTTTTCCAGGACAACAACTGGTGCAGTTGCCATGGGACACTGCCTGATCTTGAATGAGGGAGGTGCCATCCTCCCAGTTATAAGAAATTCTGAATTAGAGAGAGCTGGAAAACAAGGGAGATGATGAGACACCAAAAGGCAGTTTTGAGCCATGGAACAACATGAAGAAGGAAGGAATGAGTCAAACAGACCTTCAAATTAACATGTAACTCCTTTCCCAAGAGCTCTTTTAATTTTATTTGAGAGGTATTCAGCATTACAGGGAAAATTTATGCTAGTAGAACAGACTTGTTCTCTCCTCAAGAAAAGTAGCAGAATCAAACATCCACAAGTGAGATATGACTGTCCAGACTAGTTCTGGGGTTTACAGCTGGGGTCTTTCAACAGCTAAATTTCTAGCCAGAGCAGTCCTGGTTTGGAAAAGCTTTTCTAAAGTCTTTTTCCCCCACACATTGTTATTATTTTCCTTTTTAATTTTCATAATAGGTCCGCCTTCAAACTCCTTTCCCCATTTCCTTGCAAATGACTACAATTCAAACCCAGGGTTCATAACCCTTGAACACGGTCCTGCTTGACAGAGCAGCTGTCTGGGTCAGTGAAAGCAGGAATGGGCCAGTGGGACACAACACTCCTCGAGGCCGTTATTTTCTAGGCCAGTCCCATGCCTAAGACAGCAAAATCCCCATTGTTGTAAGAATGCTGCACATTTAGTCAGATACATCATCTTCTTCATGGCCCTGAAGTCTACTTAACTTCATAGATTTGAGGGAAGCAAAGAATCACTCCAGGTAACCAAATTTGCAATTTTGTTCAGTGCTTAGTGTACACAGACACAGGCAAACATGGTGACTGGCAACTCTCAGGGTGTAAGTGGTGGGAGTCATTAATTCAAGAACATGGAAATTGAGCTTCTCCTCTGAGAAACAATGACTGAACTTGATTTCCAGAAGCACAGGTTTAAGATGGGTTACCTGGATCTTGAGAGGAAAGCACTAGGCTTACACAGAATAGTGAGGACATGAGTGGTGCATGGGTGTGAGGAGGTACATGCGTGGTGCTCTTACTGTTTTAAGCCCTCTCTCTCATCCAGCTGTAATTTCACAAACACATACATATGTGTGTTTTGACTATACTATTTACATGGTGAGATTACATTTATCTACTGTCTACAGCTTCTGAAAAGAATTTACACCTCTGGCCAAACCTGACTAGAACTACAACAAAGATAGGGCACTGCCCTAATCTTGGGGATCCTCATCTGCAAGTGGAGTAAATTGGAGGACTCTATGCAGGGACAAGTACAGTGGGGCTGACTTCAGCTCTGGGAAGGGGTACAAAGTCTGGTCAAAATATGGTTCAGACCAAACCCACAGAACACAGCTGAATCTGCACTCTCTCATCTGCCCCACATCAGCTCTCTTTGCAGCAGTCAGAGTGTGCATTAAACCTCTTTTTTTCTAAATCTTCATTGGCTTTTCCCAGGGCTAAGCTGATATAATTTTGCAAGGGAAGACTAAAGATAAAAACACCAGGGAGTTTTGCAAAATAAAAACAAACAAACAAACAAACAAAACCAAACCAAAACAAAACAAAAAAAAACGAGCAAGTCCCGATGCTTCACCATCAATCCAGAAAAGTATAGTATACAGTATCAGTGAGCCTATGGTGCATGAGCACATGGACTCACCATAAACAGCAGACATCCGATGTTCCCCAAACACAGGAAAGTGAATGTACCTGATGCCTACAATTCAGACTCCTATCCATCCTGGATCTGTTTTCAAACACTCCAGGCAGATACTGTTACAAGAGTAAAACAAAGGTCACTCTTTTAAATTCCACTCAAGATGGAGAGTACTTGCAAAGAGACTAGAACAGACTCAGTTCTACCAATGGTATAGGCACCCACACACTCCTCCCATCAGCCATCATACTTGGATGACAACCGAAGACATAAAAGGAATGCTGTCAAATAAAAAAATCAGTCTTTAAAAGGCCTTCCAAGCAGAACACACCCAGACTCTCATCCTGAGCACTAAAAATACTACAGACGTGAGAGAACCCCATTCAGTTTATTTATCTTTAAAGACACTATGAGAACAAGAATCTCTCTGATCAAACATAGCTGCAGTCAAGTTCCGGGCCATGATTTCACAGGTTATAAATTTCATGTGTTAAAATTACAGATAGACCAAAGTCACTACAGCCTGCACTCAAAAGGTGGATAGGGGCTGGTAACAAAGGTGTTACCACAGAAGAGTCTTTAACCCTTCCATTTCCTCCTTGACTTCCCAGACCACTATGTCACAAAGGAACAGCGCTTCTGCAGTACAGAAGCCTGGGGAATGGTGCAGCTCCATGCTGTGATATGTATCATTCTCTCTGGCAGCAAGAACTTTTACAAAATTCTCAAACTATGCCCATGTTGTTAGCTTAAGAGGTTGGTTTATAGCTGTTACTGTAGTGACAGAAACCATACACTCCTCCAACTCCACCTGTACCTGCAAGTAAAGCTCACAGATATGCCACTTTCCAGTAGGTCTCCCACAAGTCTCCTACCTTCCTCCCACCACTCAGCTTCTACTCAGTACAAATACCCAGCACAGCCTGGCCTGAGCTGGCAGTCACCTGCAAGAGTGGCTAATTTATACCCAAGTTTCAAGGATTCTCATGAAGACTAGCATTCACCTGTAAGACCTTCTCATCCTATGTGGGGATATAGCATATTTTAGAAGAGAATTAACAAAGAAAAAGGTGGCAAAGTGTTGGGGAGCACCCATCAGAAAGAAGCAGCAACGCACAAAACAGTTGGGGTGCAAAGAGATCTCTTTGCAAAGGAGGTCAACTCCCCTGACAGCTCACAGTTTGGAGCCCTGGCATCCCCCTGGCTTGAACTCAGCAGGAGCAGCGTTATTCGGCAGTGTTGACACCACAAAGCACAGCAGTCCAGAAAGACAAAAGGAGCCTGAAGAATTAAAAACCTTCATTACAGGGCCTCATCCACCCTGCATTAAAATACAGTGACTTAGATCCATCTGTAATTTACAGCCCAATTGCTGCCGAAACTCAGCTCCAAACACTCAGATTAAAAGCAGGACTATTTATCACAGGCTGACAACCCTTTCAGACATAAGAGGAAGACAGTAAAGGGACACCTAGAATTGGAGAGGCACCTATAATAGTTAATCTTATCTGTAATGCATTTACTGAGAGAAGGGAGGATGGGAGATGGCTGCTGACACCAATGCCAACCATTGCTGCCTTGCCACAGGGATTTAAACACACCCCTCCCAACTCATACCCCAGCCCCACTGGCATAGCTCAGTTATTACACTGCTGTGATGAGAAAAGGTCTCTTTGCACAGGCCAGCTTCTCTGACAGTTTACAACAACTCCTCAGCATTCCACAAGTCCCCTCAACCAGGGAAGTATGGCTGACAGCAGCTGGCATAAACAACACATCTGGTAACAGTTTTTCCATTCCCTATTCAAAAGGCCCAGAGAGGGCAGCTGCCTTTGCCCTGAGATACTTCCTTAGCTTAGGAGAAGCTGCTTGTGTTGGGAGACCTCACTCGACACTCACCTCTGCTCAGCCATAAAGAACTACATTAGCCAGATTTGCAAACACAAGAAACAATGCCTTACAGTCAGGCTGGAAAATGCATTTGGAGCACATGAAACATTTCAGGCTTCTCCTCAAAATCCCACATTAACCCCTTTGAGTGCAAGCAGCATTTGGATTTACACCAAACTTCTGTTTTATCGGGGAGCAAGCCAGTAATATAGGATAATCCTTTCAGATCAGGTCTTTGATCCAGCTGGTCAGGCAACTTTAAAGTAAGGGTTAGGGGCATGCAAAAACTTGCAATGGCTCTCACTGCACCAGATCCTTTCCTGGTAAGCATTGTGTGATTCCAAGCAGTTCCTAGTTGGGAAAATCTGACAAAGGGGTTGTCATATCATCTGAACGTGGAGGGATGGGCTAGAGATTAGTGGCACAAAGACAGAATTTCAACATTTATTCTCTTCTCCAATACATATGTTTACTCTCTAGCAATATATGACATAGAAAGTACAAAATTAAATTAGTGAGGCAGGTCCTAAACAAAAAACACGTGATCCTTCAGCAATGTGTAGTTAAGATGTAAAGCATTCTGCCACAGGATGTTCTGGATGCAAAGACCCTACAAAGATTTGGTGGGGTAAAATGAATAGGTTTAGGTAAAAGAAGTCTACTGGGCTACTAATGCACAGACAGCAGTTCTGTCTCAAGAAGAACTCAAGATTAAAATATGTGATGTTCTTGGTCTCCTGTAGGTGCCTACCTCCAGTGCCTGCAGGATACTGGGGTGTAGTGGTTTGAATCTTGTTTTCCCCAGAGGCTAAGAGAAGTGGTAGACCCCAAGGGGTGGAAACCCCTGGAAGTTTTGAAGTTCTGCCCAATGGGCGCTCCTGCAGAAATGTAAACATACCACAACCAGACCGGAAAAGAAGAGTTGTAGTTTGCTGGTTGTAGGAGAGGTGGCCATGTTGTAGAGCCACGAGGAAGGGGCTCTGAGCCCCTTGGGGCCTCTGGCCCCCTCCCAGCCCCTGGCTGGGGGCTGCAGGGACCTGGAACAGCATAAAGCTGGGCTAGGTGCCTGTAGTATGCCGGGAGATGTTTTCTCCATGGGCGCAGAGCAGCAGCCGACACTGACCAGAGAAACAGTGGCAGAGAGCCAGAGATAAGAACCTGAACTGAAGAAGCAGCAGAAGCAACATGCAGCACTGCAGAGGAGACTCCTGGAAGGAGAGTCGAGGAAAGGAGAGCCAGCAGCTGAGAGCTACAGAGTTCTTGGGGGTAAGACTGATACCAGATCCCCAAAACTCCTTTGAGACCTCCTGGAAGGAGGAAGATGATGGACTCTTACTTGAAAGAGCCTTGAAGTGCGACATGCACTGTAGAAAGGAGCTAGAGAGCTCCGAGAGGAATGCAGGGGGAGTTGACCTTGGCTCCCCCCCCTTGCACTGCTGCCACGGTGGCAGCCTGAGAGACAGGGCACAGAGGCCCTGCAAGAGATACCAGACCGTCATGAAGACCCCCCTGTGTCTTCGTGATATGACGTGGTGAAACGACCTTGTCTGGGGTTACGAAGACCACGGAAGACCCCTCGGTTGTGAGGCGATGGGGCCGGGGGAGCTTGAATACCTCCCTCATGGATGCTGGCAGAAATCCAGCTATCAGCTGCTGCATGCATGAGAAGAAGAAACCTGCTGCCTTAGAAGATGCTGCTGTTCAGAGACTGGAAGGGATCTGTCCTTCTTTCCCTCCTGGACTTTTATTTGGAGGGGAGAAGAGATCTGATCCATTGTAAATACTATATGTCATGGTAGAGATAGTTTGTGATCATGTGTATAATGTGATATGGTATTTATTTGTACAGTCATTGTAATATATTTCCCTTTCCCCCACCTTGAGTCTGGTGTGTTTTGTCTGGAAAAACCCATCTCACATTAGGTTGAGATGTGGGAGGGGGAATGGAGCTAGGGAATTGGATGTTGAGGCTATCTCAAACCATGACATGGGGCAAACTGTACGTCTAACACAGGATGGGTGCTCCTAAGCCCCATTCATGGAAGCGGGATACAGAGCACATGCACTTACTTGCAATGTCACAACATAAGGGGATGCACAGGACAAACTCTGTGTTCTTCCAGATCCCGTGTTCCTCCAGATCCAACTCACCTCTCTCAACACAGAATGCTACTGAGGCAGTGTCCAAGCACCACGTAATAAAGCGGCACTCCCACGTACCATTTCAGCAGTGAGATGGGAAAAGTTGCACTGCACTGTTGCCCTCTGCAAAATACCACTGAGAGGTTTCCCAAGAATGATTTGTTCTGTCCAAGCCAGAAAAAAGGGTTTTCTGAGAACAAAACCATATACAGGGAAGCTGCTGATTTTTCAAGTCTCTAAATTATTTCCCTTCATATGCTCCACACCAAATACCACTGTTCTCTCCCATTAATTAGCCATTGGCTGAAGAACTTTTATTTCTTTGGAATAACCAACTCTTAGGAAAAAAGAAAAAATATAAAGGAAGAAAGAAACACACATACAAAAACAATCTGGCTGCAGACAACTGTCTGGAACAGCCTCTTGGCTTTGTGTATAATAACTGGGTGACAGGATATGGAAGGATTATTTTGTATTTTTCCAGCTTACATCCAGACACACTCTCAGCAAACTGGAGAACATAGCTGCATGCCTGGCACCTTTCCTCAAGATGGGAAATTCCCTGTTCAACCAAAGGAAATTTTATTCTCATCTTATGCCCATATAGAGCTTGGCAGATTGTGGGTTCTCATGCCAAGAAGTAAGGACATCATCAGTTAAATAAAAAACAGCATACATCATGGAAACAATGTGACCCATGAGGAAGGAGTAAAATGAGACAGATTTATGAACAAAGTAAATGTGAGGGGACAGGATCTTTATGCTATCAGAAACTTGAATTGTGTCATCTCCTTGAAATCTGTGGCTCAAAACCAGGTTTGTATCCCAGACAAATCAATTAATCAGCTGCCCAAAGTGAATCAATTGTTTGGTCCCTAGAAATATCAGAAACCAAGGCTCACCTATTCTCATTGTGAATATTTATGAATATTGAGGTATTTGTGATTTCTTAATCCAGGCATCTCTCATCCTTTTATACATCTGTCTTGCAGTCAGGCAAAAAACCTCAGGTGAACCCATCCATGAAATGGGAAACATGACTGATAAAAACCTCCTCAGGACACCTAAGCTCTCCTCAGGCACTGATTTCCTTTTTTAATCCCTCAGGAGATGTTTCAAGCCCTGAGCTCTTAGGTTTTCTCATATGGGCTGATGCCAGAACAAGGGTTGGGAGGCAACTCCAGCCAAGCTGCAAAGGGCATTTCTCAGATGTGTTTGCTGGGTACAATGACCAACTAACCCAATCATGACATTAGAGAGGGCAACCCATAGCCTCAAGTGTCTACCATGCCTAGGAGACATCTCCCCAGGTTTCACCACAACTCGTTCCTGACAAAACTCATCTAAAAGGCACATGCCCATGGGGCGCAGGCATCGATTTGTTCCCAGCACGACAACTCAAGCCTTGGCAAGCTGAAGTGCCTCTGCAGCAGGACTGAGCCTGGATGCTGAGCTGCCTGGCTAAGAGTGCTGGGGGAGGAGAGAGTTGGAAGCAAAGACTGGTCCATAACATCTGCTTGCAAAGTTGATATTCACTCACAGAACCTTCTTTGGGCTCTTAGCTCCTGCCACCCCTAGATGACATTCTGCCATACCAACACTAGAAACAACTAGAAAGAATTAGGATCTGGATAACTGCACATACAGCTGCGTGGCAGCTTCAGTGCAAATCTTCCATTCCAGATACTTTCTCACATCCAAGTCCAACAGGAAGTTTCTATAAGCATTCACAGTGTTTCACCCTCCATGAAGCCATCAAGGCTGGACTAGAGAGGCAGCCATGAGAGCTCTTCATATGATGTACCCTCACAAGGGTACTCTGTCATGTCTCAATGGGAGAACAGCAGAAGTTCACCTAGCTAAGCATTTAGTGCGCTGCAGTGATTACAGAGGGGCCAGGGGGGAAAGAAAAGGACTGCTCACCATGTAAGATCTGTTCCCTCTGCCACAACCAGCTCCCAAGATGCCCCATCTTCAAAATGCCTGTCCTTCAACAACAGTTCAATATGATATAGAGTGAGGTACATATGGAGGCCAGGTCAACATCCAAACAGACCGATCCATACCACAGAGGAGGTTATAATGGGCATAAAAAGCCCAGGATAGCAAGAGGGGAGAAGAGCCTAGAGGTACCCTGAGCTGTCCACCCTCAAGGAGTGACCACACTAGTTCAGAAGAAACCTTCTTTGAACTGTGCTCCACCAGCGTGGAGCTGTATCGTCACAGCTGTATCCTCACAGCTTGGGCTGTGCCCAGACTGGCATGGAGACAGCTCTGCATAGGTCACATCGGGCCATATG